AAATTGCGAGTAAAATTCTCTGAAAGATTAGTAGAAAAATACTTACGAATTTTCCCCAAAATGTGTGATTCAACAAACGAAATTTGGTAACGCTTAAAGGCTCATACGGCGTTTTCCCTCACTACAGCACACAGCGGATCGAGTCAATTAGAGAGATCGAATATGGAATTTTCGACAAAAACTGCGAATTTTTATGTTTATTTCGTCACATTTTAAAGTTCAAGGGACGTGCTACTAGAAGAAAATTTCACGAGGAAGCCAATGAAACCACTTTTATAACCTCAGTGGCAAAACGGAAAACAAGGCTAAAAATACACAATCAATAAAACCCGACACGTTTCAGCTCAAAATTGAGTTATTTTCAGTCGGAAACAATGAAAATTTTAAAAAAAGAAGAAAAATCTGAGTCCTACATGGTGGTGGCCGGGATCTGAGAAAAAGAGAAAATTGATAACAAACAAGGCACATCGATGCCAGCACCGTTGACCGAAAATGATCTTCTTCGACCGAAAAGGTTTTTTTTCGTTTTTTTCTTTTTTTTTCAAATTTGTATTGTTTCCGACCGAAAATGACTCAGTTTTGAGTCGAAACGTTTCGGGTTTTATTAATTGTGTATTTTCAGCCTTGTTTCCTCCTTGTTTTTTCCACAGTTATCATTGTCTCGGGCTGCTCTTAAAATGTTTTATTTATATCCTTAAAGTTTTATATGAACGGAGTTATAAGCTTTTAAAGTTTCCAAACTTCGTCCGACCTCTCCTTTTGACTCGATCCACCGTGCGGCAGTACGGCAAAGCGCTTCTCGAACGAAACCCTCAAGAGGTTTCCTGGAGAGCTTTTCCCTGGCGCGTGGCTCCGTTGGTCCACCCATTGTTCGTGACTGCGCCAGCCTTGACTCGACAGGCCGCGGCACGGGGAAGTCACTTCACCTACTTAGCGCGGCATACCTGACTGAAATTAATCACACGTTTCCGGTGGCTGCCACCGTTCCGTCCGGGATCCTCCTCGAAAAGTGAAACTCCGGGTCCATCCTCGATCGGTTTCTGGACCGGAGAAATACCCGCCACCGTAGGCCATCCCTCGAACAATCCTCGTTTTCACTTGCACGCTCGGCTGCAGCCGGAACCTTTGTCGCCGCTCAAACACCGAGACGATTCCGAATGTGTGAGCACTGCCAGATGTGGATGTCACATACAAGATGGTAGTGTTTCGCGAAATGAAAGTGACATTCAAGCCACATTGTTAAAATTCTTGAGCTGAGGATGGTTTTCAGATCGTTAAGAAGCATAATTCTTTGCAAATTGAAAGACCGCACAAAATATTTTGTAGGAGGTGTACGTCCTCTGGCCACTACGCGGCCCAACACTGGAAAAAAAACACATTGGATCTAGAGTCCAGACTCTTGAGAACATTGACAAGAAAAAATACTCTTGATTCAATCAAATTTAAGCTTAAATCAAAAGGGAATCCGCTTAAATTAAGAGGCTGGCTTCTTGATTTAAGCTTAAATCCGATTGAATCAAGAGTGTTTTTTCTTGTCGATGTTTTTAAGAGTCTGGACTCTAGATCCAATGTGTTTTTTTTCCAGTGAACCTACAGCAGGCCCTTCCACCAATCTAAATAAAGCAGGTTCATCCGAGGACTGTGTCTTATCATAGCCGCAAAAATCTGAACATTGGCGCTGTATATCTTTAGAACGAACTATGACCCAAAATCGTCACCTCCCGGCCAAAGTATCATAAGCGCTGTGCAACGTCTCAAAATTTCCGCCGCCATTTTATTTCTTTACAGAGAAATTGTTCAACAAAGCTGTCCGAAAATTTCACTAAATTCTCTTTGTGCTACCGATAAAATTCAGTGAGATTTTCAAACAGATTCAACCTACAATTTCTCTGTGAAAAATAAAATGGCGGCGGAAATTCTGAAACGTTGCATGGCGCTTGCGATACTTTGGCCGGGAGGTGACGAAATGAACAATTGCAAATTTGGCAATTTTGGCAACTTTCGAATGTTCATACGGCGTTCTTCCTTAGCACGGCAGTATAAGTACTTTAATCCCTGCGGATGAATGTGCCGACTGATGAAGTGTCCCCTGTGTGTCCAGACTAAAACTCTTAAAATGGCTCTAGTTCTTTAATTTCTCAGGCAGTTTTACACGAAATTCTTCAAAAATCTCAAGATCTGATCTATGATGTGTCCCAAGTACATCAGTTACCCTCCAAGATTATCGAGCGGACGATCTGAGATAAGTCTCCACGAAGCCTCCAGTCTCCTCGTGGAAGGCACGCTTTTAAGAAGAAACCTCTTTAATGGTCTCTGTAATGATTGCGCGCCGCTGCTGCCACATAGCGCTCTCTCGTGTTCATTTCTTGCGAACCCCATCAACCGTTCCTATCAGCGATCTTCCTTGTGAACAATAGGCCGCAATGTAACGAGATCGTTGTCTCCGTGCGGCAGTAGCCATCGCCACCGGGGCCTCTCCGGCTCCTAGTTTGATCGCAATCGGTGCCAATATACTCTTGCACCAAGCAAAACCACGCATCTGCAACGGATATCTGAAGAAACTTGCGCGGTTTAGCCTATTTGATCCGTCCGCGGGCAGCAAAACCACTTTCTTCAGGGATCCGACTTTGCAATGAGTTAAACGATCGATGTGTAACACACCGGCAGTGCTGCCGCGCGGTGCGGGATTTGCAGGGACTGTCCTGTCGTGCTATGGAAGAAGGCCGTATGAGTCCTCAGATGCCGCCAAATATCCTCCTACAAAACATGCATTCTTGAGGAAATTTGTGAATATTTTGCTTTAAGATTTGCAGATGACGTAGATCTGATTGCGAATAAAATTCTCTGAAAATTCCGCAGAAAAATATGCGCATATTTCCCTGAGAATTTATATTTTAAGGGAGGAAATTAGGCAACGTCTGAATGCTCATAAGGCGTTTTCCCTTGGAGAGGCATCATCGGAGTGGTTCGCTGGGTATTTGATAGGACGCCCGTGGCGCTATCTGGCAGGACTGCGGTCACTCGCGCATCCCGACCCACGGACCGTCGCGCGACGCGGCGCGGACACCTGCGCCTTGTCGCGCGCCGCGCGCGGTCACCGGGCCTGCGTTGCCATTAGTGCAGAAAAATAAAGGATATTTTAAAGGATATTTTTTTTTATCATATTCAGGACGTATTTCTGCCAAACAGAACTATGTACATTATGACGTGAGCCCTGTTACACAAATATCCTCATGGGTCTCAGGGCTCATGTCTTAATGCACATCGTTCCGTTTGGCAAAAATACGTCCAATACGAAGACCAAAAGGGAAGATTAGCGTGCCAAGTAGTGGACACTCGCGACCGCGGTAAAGTGAAATATTTGCCTGCGGTCATCTGGTCGGGCGCAGGACACGGGGCGCTCGCGGCTCACGCGCTCGCCTTCGCTGCGTGACGTAACGTCGTGACGTAGCCGGCGTAGCCGGTGACAGCGCGCCTCTTGGACTAAGTGGAGGTCTAAGTGTACTGATTTTCTTAATTTTTCATGTATTTTTATTTCCTGCGGGCTGATTATTGAAATTAATTAACAAAGCTATAGACAAAGAAGACAAATGGGGATTGAAGCACTGCTATTGGTAGAAGCGGGTAACACTGGGAAAAAAAACACATTGGATCTAGAGTCCAGACTCTTGAAAACATTGACAAGAAAAAGGACTCATGATGCAAGCAGATTTAAGCTTAAATCAAAAGGAAATCCGCTCAAATTAAGAGGCTTGGTTTTTTTATTTAAGCTTAAATCTGATCGAATCAAGAGTATTTTTTCTTGTCGATGTTTTTAAGAGTCTGGACTCTAGATCCAATGTGTTGTTTTTTCCAGTGAATTACAATGGAAAAATGAGGTAAGTAACAGAGAAAATAACGTCAACCCACGAGAGACCCTATAGTTAGTCCATCATTTTCTCTCACTGTCTGTAGGAACCACCAATTTCAACCAATATGATTGCTCCATGCCCCCTATGTCTTCTTTGTCTATAGCTTTGTCTATCAATCTCAATAATCAGCTCGCTGGTCGAAGAGGGGGTTGAAATTGCCCCGAAACGTCCCAGGCTTGCTTTGATGTTCTTAGCCTTGTTTACCCGCACTGAAAATAAAACTCCGGCCGTGGGAGTCGGAATTACGGGCTATATAGACATACCGTCCGTTCCGGGCTCAAAGGCCGAAAATTCCGGCTGCTGGAGGTGTAGCTTCGATTGCTCCGGGTTCAGAGGCCGAAGCTACGGCTCCAGCAGCCGGAATTTTGGCCTTTGAGGCCGTAACGGACGGTATGACTATATAGCCCGTAATGGACCACTAGACAAGGTACGAATTTAAGCAATCTGATACATGTTTCTTAACCAGAATTTCAAGTAGAACACGATTCGCGCAACGAAAATTACTGAAACCAACTCCTAACGGAGATATTAACATTTTTATTTCACATTGGCTACAAGGAATTCGAACTGCCCGCTCACAAGAAACTCAAAGCTCTACGCGAGTCAAATCGCGCACTACAACGGTTTCAGCAAGCCTCTCAATCGAGCAATGTTCATTTTCCACCATGTGTTGTTCAAACTATAAGCAATTTGCTACAGCTGAGCCAAAGCGTCAAGATTGAGGTTGCCAGATTTTTACATCGCAGACACTGTCACAATAACGTTTAGCGCAATGTGAATCACGTAGAGCATTGAGTTTTCATGAGCGGGTGGTTTGAATTCACGCATCAAGAATCATTAAATATCTTCGTAAGGAGTTAATTTCGGTAATTTTCTATGTGCGCATCGTGTTCTACGTGAAATTTTAATTATGAAACATGTATCAAAATGCTGAAATTAGTACCTTGTCTAGTGGTCCATTGCGGCTCCCACGGCCGGAGTTTTTTGCAGTGCGTTTTTCTTTTGTTTTTTAGTCAAATTATTGGTATTTTCGTGTGTAACTTGAAAGTGTGCAAGTGTATCTGAGAGGGATGTGATTTTTTGTCGCAGGCTCGAGGTGTGCGGAAGGATAAGGCGGGGAGGATGAGGATCCTGAGGCTGAAGCGGCTGGACTCCTCGCACGAGTATGAGGACGGCGCGGAGGACCAGAAGAGGGAGCGGACGACGGCGACGGCCGAGAGACAGGACAAAACGATCAAGTCGGAGCGCGGCCGCCAGGAAAAGGGCCCCGATCAACCGCAGGTCTTCCAGACCGTCACCGCCATGCCGGCCCTCATCCTGGAGGACGACGCTCCGCCCATCGATATGAAAAGAAGTGAGTCCCTTTGTTTTCCCTTCAAGGTTTCCATGATAACCTTCGTTTGGTGACTTTAACGCGGGTTAGAAAAGTAAAAGCGACATGAATTCTGAAAAAAAGGTGCTTGGCTCAAGCATGATGATTCTTGAATAGAGAATTTGCAGGTGTCTGAAATTTGATAAATTCCGTGTTTAAGTGGGAACTACAGAGTGAACTGGACACGAGGATACCCTTGGTTCATGAATTGAACATTTATTGGAGGAGATATGGCAAAATGATCTAATCTGCTACGATACATGTGTTCAAATGGGAAATGCCGCCAGATGACGCCACTAGGCGGTGCACTTTCTCACTTTTAAATCTATTTTTATACTATTTCCCAAATCAGAAACAAATTATGAAAAATACTGTAAAATCAGCTCTTGAAGCACTTTCAGATGAAGCAATAAATTTGCATGCAAATTCTCCATTTGCCGCCGATAATGTGTTTTATCTAGATATAAGCTGATTTTTTTCTTAATATAAGCAAAATAATGGTATAGGATCAAGCGAAAAAGTGATTTCTATTAAACGGCAAAATTCTTGATTTCAGAAAAAATACTTCTTGGCGGCAAATTTAAGATTTTTTTTTTTCAGTGAGAGTGTGTGATAACGTATTTAACCGACAGAAATCGATTCAAAAATGAAATATGAACGGATCGACGAATGATTAACCGACCGATCTCGATTCAATCGACATGAATCGATCGATAATCAAAAACGTGAATTGAGCACATCTGCGAATCGATCGACAAACCCGTGAATTGATCGACAACACCTTGAATCGATCCAATTTCTTCAATTGAATCGAAGTAGATCAACAGATCGACAAGAAAGTCGAAAAATCGATTGTCAGAAATGAAGACGTAAACAGAATCGACACCGGTTCTTCAATCATTTGTCTATTGATTCAGTGTCGATCAGCTCATGTTCATATTTTTCAATCGATATATGTGTCGATCGAAGTCCCTCCACAGGTTTTTAACCGATTAAACGAACTTGAGCACCCGACTCTATTTATTCATGAAACAAAATGGTGACACATGCTAATTGCTTGCACTTTTTTCCGTTAATGCGAATCTCTTAGGGGTTCAATCCAAAGGAACATAATTATGTGATTGACTGGTGTTTTATACTGCCGTGCTAAGCAAGAACGNTTGTGAATTTATGAGTGCATTTTAGACTTTGCCGATGCGCTCATCGTGATTTTTGAGGCATCATCTGTGGAAAACAACTCTTATTTTTGCTCTAGCAAAAGTTTGCAACAGGCCCATTGAATCGAAGTCGATCAACGGATCGACAAGAAAGTCGAAAAATCGATTGTCAGAAATAAAGACGTAAACAGAATCGACACCGGTTCTTCAATCATTTATCTATTGATTCAGTGTCGATCAGCTCATGTTCATATTTTTCAATCGATATATGTGTCGATCGAAGTCCCTCCACAGGTTTTTAACCGATTAAACGAACTTGAGCACCCGACTCTATTTATTCATGAAACAAAATGGTGACACATGCTAATTGCTTGCACTTTTTTCCGTTAATGAATCTCTTATAGGGGTTCAATTCAAAGGAACATAATTATGTGATTGAGTGGTGTTTTATACTGCCGTGCTAAGCAAGAACGCCGCAAATCCATCAAAATTGTCCCTCGTTTTTTGGAACTGAACAATTTATAAAATAAAAACTGTTTCACCCATGCACCTCCCCTGGTAAAAATTGGCGATAGGAGCTGCGTTTCAAAATACCATAGGAGTTCTTATAGCCGACTGAAGAAGGCGATAAAAAATCATATAGCTGGCTGTAGAAAGTGGAAAAAATCATACGGCCGGACTACACGAAGCGATAAAAAATTAAACAGCCGGGCTATAGTTCCTGTCGCCGGGCTTTACACTTTATCGCCTGGCTGTTGCTTAATCGCCATCGGCTATAAAAGGCTATAAGAAATTGTGTTGCCGGCTATAGAAGCTATTGAAAATCTTACAGTCGGCTGTAGGTCTATGGTATTTTGGAACACAGATTCTACTGCCAATTTTTACCAGGGTCAAATTTTCAGGTCATATTCTTGATAGTATGTGCGAAAGAATTCTGTAAAAATTTTGTCCCAAGGGACACAAGTTTTTCTGCTACGATACATTGTTTTCAAAAAATGTAAAATGGTGTTTACGGCGTTTCAGCATATTGGTGTTTTAAAGTGCGCGGATGTATAAATTCATTCTTACTCTTTAAATTTTTCAGTTCTAAAAAAAGAGATTTCTTTCCTTTTCTTCAACAATTTTAATGAAAATGTACCCATACTGCCTAACTCAATCCAATCGTTGTGTATCTTGATGCTATTTTCTCTGTGTCATAGAGCTCTCAGTCCTAAAAATAAGAGATTTCTTTTCTTTTTTTTCCCAACAATTTTGATGAAAATGTACCCATACTGCCTAACTCAATCCAATCGTTGTGTAACTTGACGCTTTTTTTCTCTGTGTCACAGAACTCTCAGTTTTGAAAATAAGAGATTTCTTTCCTTTTTTTCAACAATTTTGATGAAATTGTACCCATACTGCCTAACTCAATCCAATCGTTGTGTAACTTGACGCTTTTTTCTCTGTGTCACAGAGCTGTCGGTTCTAAAAATAAGGGATTTCTTTCCTTTTCTTCAACAATTTTGATGAAAATGTACCCATACTGCCTAACTCAATCCAATCGTTGTGTAGCTTGACGCTTTTTTCTCCGCACGAAAAAAAAGGGTAGTCGACACAACCAGCGGCTAGTTGTGTCGACTACTCTATTTTTTCCGTGTGTGTCACAGAGCTCTCAGTTCTAAAAATAAGAGATTTCTTTCCTTTTTTTCAACAATTTTGATGAAAATGTACACATATACTGTCTAACTCAATCCAATCGTTGTGTAACTTGACGCTTTTTTCTCTGTGCCGCAGAGCTCTCCACCTGGGGCCGAAAGATGGGCAAGAAACTGGACCTCCTCCGACGCTCGGAGTCGCGGGACTCCCTGGACTCGGACAGCATCGGCTCCCGCGACAGCCTCCGGAAGCGGACCCCCCTCCGCGGCGGGAAATCCTCGGAAAACATCAACACTCCAACCTCCACCGACTCCAACACCCGATCCTCCATCAAAGGCTTCTTCAACCGCCTCGGCTACAACAACCAAACCCGGCTCCAGACCGGGAGCTTCCGGGCCTCGGAGAAAGCCCCCGAGCCGGAACTCTACCGCTCCGTCTCCACGTCGCACCTCGTGACGTCATACGTCCGCGGCGACGACCCCGCCGACTGCCTCGACAAGCCCGCCCCCAGCGACAAAGACGCCAACTACCCCATGAAGACCATGTCGTGCGATAATATCTCCAGGCTGGGCCAGGGGGCGACGCCGTCGCCCAAGAAGGCCAACTTCCCGTACGCGTTTTTGAGGTCCAAGTTGTCCGTCCTCCCGGAGGAGAACGTCAAGTCGGGGCTCTCGTGCTCCAAGTTCGCGCAGAGCGACTCGTTCAGTACGTACGAGACGCTGCGCGTGAGGTCCAACTCCGAGGAGCACTTTCCGAACCTGAAGATCGAGCCGACGATAGAGTGCAGCACGCTCGGGCGGCGGAAAAAACCAAGTCTGGAGGTAATTATTATGAAGCGTTGTTTCACTCCCGAAAGTACGTAACTCCATTTCGATGATGTCGAGTTTCCTCTCGCAAATTGCATAGTAAGGAGAATTTTGGTGGTTTCTAACTACAAATTTCACCGATTTTTCCTCGGATCTCATGCTAAAATTAGCGGGGGAAAAAATTGTCTGTCAATTTGGCAACCTTGGAATGGAATTACGCTTTTTCGCCCGGGAGTTTTGAAAAACCAAAAATGACTTTTGTTCTTGCACACTGTATTTTTAGATCAGGATTTCTCTGCATGCGTAAAAACATTCTTCCATACATTCCTACCTTTCAATTTTTTTCTTTTTCGATTTTTACCCCTTTTTTCATACATTTCATTTTTTAACGTTTCTTGTATAAAAAATTATCTCGTGCTTGATTCCCATGCACTACATGCATGCATACATAAGAGTCGCTCTCACAGCGCTCTCTAACGCTCTGCGACGCCCAGCCGCCACAAAACTCGATCCCGCCACAACCCATCAGGGAATTGGCACTCCCTCATCTTTTCTAAAACCCCCTGTCGCCACCCCTTCACCGGGCAACCCATGTACTAAACTTGGCGAATTTTTAGTAGGAAGAACCATTATAATGCATTTGAGTAATGAAACTGTATGTTGTTCTTGGTAGATCAACAGGGGTAGCTGTTTGTCGATGAAGGCGGACAAGCTGCACCTGAGCAACTACGTGAGCTCGAACGAGTCAGGCTACGACAGCGACAGCACGAGGAACGCAGAAGACAGTTTCATGCTCAAGCTGGATCTCAGCGAGAAGTCGGACCTCAACGAAAGTTTCGACTCGAGCAGTGTCAAGTCCGAGCGGCTCGACGACACCGAGCAACCCTTTAGTCTGGCCCTACAGCCCAGCTCCCCCTGGGCCTACAATAGGTACGCAATGGAATCATATGAAAATAAAAGATAATAAAAAATTGTGACTTATAAATATGTATATACATTTTAATTACATTCGGCTGGCTAAGCTTCATAGAGCATGGTAAAATGATTGTAAAAATAATCGAGCTACAAGCCAAAAATAAATTAAACAAATAATATTTCAAACTACACAGAGATGAGAAATAATAAAAATTTACAGGAAATAAAGCAAACGTTTCGACCGCCAACAAACTGCGGTTTTCTTCAGAGTAACAAGTGAAAACATTTTACAAAAACAAATTTAAATAAATATAAATATGTATTAAAAAAAACTACAAAAACATTAGCAAACTAAGTAAAGCGAAAATACAAATCTATCGCAACTACATCTTGGGATTTTCCAATTTGATTCGACGAGTCCTTTATTTTTAATGACTTTTAGATCTTTTAATATTTATATGATTTATTTTGCTCAATATTGGATGGCCTGACAAACATGGCTATGCCCTAGTCGTTTGTAGAAGAAGAGGACAATTAACATTGATTTTATGGCAAAAATACATATAACCTCGCTCGTATCAACCAAATTCCATTTGATCTGTGTTGAAACATTTGTTAATTATTTATCGTTTAGGAGTTGATGTTTCAACCTCCCGTCATATAAATCATTTTCTACGTAGGATTTTGAAGAGAAAAATGTGACGTTTCCCTCTAGGTATTACCTCTTCTAGTGACCCATTGCAATATTTATTACAATTTTGTTACAGCCTGAGCCGGCAGTTCAAGTCGCGGCAATCTAGTCAGGGCTCGGAATCCCCGCCTTTCAAGTTCAAGGGCGACAAACGGGACATCCCCCGCACCCCCAAGTTCACCCGGCAGATGTTCGTCAAGAACACCAAGCCCCGGAGGATGTTCTCGACGGTGCTACCTATCGAGCAGGAGATGACGTCACTCCCGCCCATGACGTCACTGCCACCCAATCTCAACGCGGAGCCGAGCAGGAGGTTCCGGCTCATCCGGCTCCTCAAAGTCAGGGCCGACGAGGACCTGGGCATCTACCTCACCATGAAGGCGCTCGACTTTCAGAGTTCCGAGGTCCGCTACATCGTCGTCAAGCTCGAGGCCGGAAAGATCGCTGAAAGGTAGGTTCAAGTTCCGGGTTTTTCGCAATATTTAAAGTACACTGGAAAATGGTATGCTGTTTTAGCACCTAGGATGTCAAAAATATGTCCAGTGATCCTAAGATGCTACCTTGATTGCCCACGCAGTTGAATTTGCATCCATGGGATGTAAAGTCAACTGCCAGAGCAATAAAGGCAGCATCTTGGGATCACAAGACACATTTTTGCCATCCTAGGTGCTGAAACAGCATATTATTCTTTTCTGTGTATTTTTTTTTTTTTTTTTTTTTTTTTTTTTTTTTTTTTTTTTTTTTTTTNGGGAGGGGGGGGAGAGAGAGAGAGGGAGAGAGAGGGAGAGGGGAATATGGACGAAATAGAGAATTTGCAGGAGTCTGAAATTTTGTGAGGAAAACTGAGCGCGAAGGTATTCTTGGTTTGTAAATTGAACGATTATTAGAGAAAATATGACAAAATGATATGACAAAATGATATACAAAATATGACGACGTCATAAGGTGGCACATTTCTTACTTTTACATCAATTTTTCTCCAATTTCCCGCGTCAGAAAAAAATTATGAAAAGTACTGCGAACTCAGCTCATAAGGCACTTTCAGATGAAGCAATAAAATTTTTGTGTGCAAATTCCCCATTAAAAATGTCTTGAAGAGGCGCATAGTGGATCGAGTCATCGAAAGAGCAAAATCTCGGTGATTTAGCTTCTGAAACGACTTAGATCCATACGTTTACAAAGTTTCTCATTTGCAGAGAGAGAAGAAATGAGGAGGTTGGAGGACTAGGTGCATAAGAGTAGTTTTTGCAAGTTGGAGAAGTACGTGTTATAACAACACTATATGGAGCCTTATGGCACAAAGGTAGTTTAGCCTGACTTTTTGATGCTTAAAAGTCGGATTTTTGTTGTGAATTTTTCACAGAATATACTTTCAAACTAGTTTCAGTTGAATTCATGAATATCTCAATTTTTTTCATAAACTGCACTTATGCGCGCCCTGTCCTCCAAACCCCACAAATATGATACAAAATAATCCTAACGGTACATCTTTATCAATGATCTTACCAACCTCCAGGCATTAATGTATGCTTCTATAATGTAGATAAAGCAGTCCCGAAAGGAGTTGTGTCTAGTCTAGTATTAAATTTAAGAAGACATGGTTCCTATTTTTGGAGTGCACTGGGCAGGATTTACCTACTTGCCGCCCATGGGCCGCCTGTATTTTGCCGTCCCATTCTCATTCGTTTTGAAACATCAATAAAAACCATCAAGCGAACGTGCTAGCGGGGGAGGGATGCAGAAGACGCGTTTACTTGTGTTGGACACATTTTTTAGGAAAGCTCTGTCAACACTGCTAGCAAAAGTTCACGGAACTTTGCGCGAAAGTTAAGTTCCGTAAACCTATCTCTGTTAAGACAAGGCCTTCCATTCATAAGAAATGAGCGAAAAAATTATGAAAGAACAAACATAAATGTAGTTCAATGATTTTAAATTCCGCCGCCGCGCCGCGCAGACTGCACTGCGTTTGGTGCAATGCGTGAAGTATTTCGACAGTCTTGTAGGCGCTAAGCGTTTCACGTTGACTGGACTGTCTTTGGCGCAATGCGCGAAGTATTCATGCATTCTTGCAGGCGCTATCCGTTTCTCGCTGACTGCAGTGACCGCACTGTGTTTGATGCAATGCGTGAAGTATTCGTGCAGTCTTGAAGGTGCTAATATGTGTTACATGCCGGCTGCCGCGCCGAGGGCTTCTCCTTTTCATCTCAAGTCCGCGTCATCATTTCTCTCTAAGTCGCGACCAAAGACCAGACCAAATTGCGTGTTTGGTTTCTCTCTTAAGTCGACTAATTAAAGGTGCTATCTCTTGTATCACTGAAAGACGACAAAATTAGAAATTACTATTTTGTTGCCTTTTCTCGTTTGTAATTTTTTTTCTAAATTCGATTTTTTTTCACCTACATTTAAAAAAAATGTAAAATTTGCCGCCATGGGCCGCGGCCCATGTGGCCATTCCCTTAATCCGGCCCTGCGAGTGCATACCATCATTTTATCGCACTGCTAACCAAAGAAGGCACCATCAGAGAAAGTTGCCTTTTAAGCAAATATCAAACATTTTCAATTAAGGTTTTCATTAAAACAGTAGCTAGCTAAAAGCGCATAGGAATTTTGCGGGCAGTTTTTCCTGGTTCTTACGGATTATCAAAGCCAAAAAAGGGCCCGAAATTCTCGGCCTGGTAACGCGTGCCTGTAAGTCCAAATCAAAAGCCGGTAATTATTACTGGTGATGACATTTTACACGGAGCACCCTTTATTATCGGCTTTTTTTCATCGGTCCTTTTTCTCGGCCGAATCTTTTATTTCGAACTCGAACTCCGTAAACTTGAAACGTCCGGCTTTCAAGCCAAAAAGGTCTGCATTTTTCGAAAACAGGAACCGCATTTTATGGAGAGGCAGGTCGGGTTGTGCTCTTTGAAAGCCGTTCGCGAAATTCCACGCTGATTTTGTCAGCGATGCTTTTACCCCGGAAATTTCAATTTTAATGACAGCTGCAGTAATTTCATTTGTATTCACCTCCGATCGAGAATAAATGAATAAATTTTCCTTCGACGGTATAATTTTTTCTGTGACGTACGTATTTTCTGCTTACTTCTTCCAGACGAAATCGCAGGAAGGAATCTTGTGACGATTGATTGTTTTTCCAATTTCTAAGTAATGACATTCAATTCGCAGAAAAGAAGTAAAAGCTCATTGACATTTCGTAAAATGAACACACACGGAAATGAATTTTTAGTTCAAATCATTTAAAATTTTGAATATTATTAGTCCAGCCTGAATTAATATTTTGATAAAACTATAACCAATTCATATCGAGAAACTAAAAAACTGAATCTTCTGAACTCCTTGAGACTCAATCTGTACTATTTTAGTTCCTAATTGAGTAACAACTTAATCTGGGGAACGGATACAGAACAGGACAAAAAATAAGAAAATATAGAAAAAACCAGTGCGTTTTGAAATATAATCATCTCATTGCCAATCGGAAGAAACAAGGAAAATCATACGAGTTTCTTTGTTTCTTCCAGAGTAGCTTCGGAAGCTTCGAATAGCTTTCCTTGTTTCTTCTTGTTCTATTAGGAATTAAAATTGTATCATTTTATTCCAAAGATAATAAAGAAAATATCCCCATAAAAACATTAGTAGCCGTCAGCAAAACGCATGATTATGAGCGCAAGAAAAAATTTAAAATTCAGAGGTCTGAAACTCCTTATTATGATCATTTTCAATTGAAAATCCCATAAATTGTAGAAATCCCATACATTTTGAAAATCATGATGTCTCATCAATTAAATTTGATCGGAAAATGAAGAGGAAAATTGTCCTCGTCAAAAATTTGGTTCATAGAGCAGGCCGTCTGACTCTCAAAATACTCGGTTTCTTTCGGGAATCGCAGTCCACGTAATCCTCGGTTCAAGAGCCTGGATGCGCGCTTGATTTTATAAAAAAAAACGTTCGACACCTGACTATATTACTAGACTAAGGAAAAACGCCGCATGAGCCTTCAGACGTTGTCAAACTTCTGATCAATTATAATTTTCCAAGAAAGCTTCTGAATATTTTTCTCCTTCTATTTCCAGAAAATTTATCTTTCAATTCAATCCACAGTTTCTGAAAATTTGAATGGAAAATATCATAAAGTTCCTCAAAAATGAGTTTTTCACAACGATAAATTTGGCAACTTTAGGATATTCATACGGCGTTCTTCCTCAGCACGGCGGGTTAGGAACGTGGTTGGGAATGATAATGTTCCGAGGACAATACACGCGTGAGTGAAGTGTTTACACGATACTCTATCCCAGTCAGAAATCGAGAGTTCTCAACCTGCTTCGTTATTTCAATGCCCGTATGCGCGCTCCCGTAATAGTCTTAACATTGTTTGCCTCCCTTGAACACGTGTTTGTGCTGCACTAAAAATCAGTAACGCTCCCTAGCGTCATCAAAGAATGAAGTTCCTCACTCGATTGCAAATACACCGTAAGAGTCAGTTCACGTCGTTGTTGTCAAAATTCTTTTTTTTTTTTATAAATATATATTTTTTTACTGAAAATTTTGCGGCAATAGAATTCACGCGGAGGAGTACGATTATTTCTGGGGCCCTCCCCCCCCCCTTAAAAATCAACAATGTCGGAAAGTAAATCGTTTTTCCTGATTTTTGGCAACGCTTGTGAAACCAATCTCATGAAAATTTGTATTCCCCCGTACTTTCATGCCCTGAATTTATAAATGATCTAAAAAAACCGAAATCCCAATTTAAAGAGGGTGTTGGGGGTGTTTCGGCTCCTGCAGTCTAGCCGTTTAACCCTGGATCACCCTGAAAGCTGCCGTGCTAAGGAAGAACGCCGTATGAACATTCGAGTTGCCAAATTTCCTCCGATTAAATTATTATTTTTGCGGAAAGCTATGAATATTTTTCCTTGAAATTTTTAGAAACCTTAAGTGGAATTGCGAACAAAACTGTATGAAAAATTGAAAAAAAAAATATTGACAAATTTTCCCGAGAATTTGTGATTTACCAAAGGAAATTTGGCAACGCCTGAAGGTTCCTACGGCGTTCTTCCTTAGCATGTAAGTATAGGTACTCTACATCCGATGACCTATTCGTCGTCTCCCGGTCGAAGGAACGTAAGTCCATTCCAAGGTTGCTAAATTGACCACAACAATTAACTTATTTTACAAAAATATACCCGTGGAACTTTGATCCAAATTTTTCTGATTTTGGCAAGGAATCTGCGGATAAATCTGTAAAATTTTCAGTTAGAAAAGCCCAAGATTCTCTTAGTTATTCAGCAATTTGCGAGGAGGAATTTGGCAACATTGAAATGGAGTTACGTTCTTTCGTGAGGGAAACGACGTATTAAGATAACGCCTTTAAATTTTTCAAGCTAACAGCGGCAACACCGGCTAACCCTTACGACGTTTTTGCGGTGTAGGGTGACAAAATCATCCATTCATATTTTCTCCGTATCCCTCCCCTCCATCTACATGTTTTATAATTTTTTCTCCTTTTTTTTTCTCGTGAGCTCACCTTCTCGTTACGAGGCCAAACAATAACGAGCTGACGAGGTTTCCGAGAGGCGCGGCCATTAATCCGTAACCGAACGGACCGGCGGTGAAATACGTGCTTTTGATCTGTGTCAATACCGAGCAAGCGTTTTCGGAATATGGACGAGATAAGTCGAGCGCCCGATCGCCGCGGTAAAAACCGCAAATGTGAATACGATTTTCGTTTCAGTTACGCGGTTTTTGCTCGGGGTGAAGAAGTATTCCGGTCACGAAATTTCCCCCCGTACACGCCGAGAAGTGCGTGCGCTCTCTGTAGGCGACCCCGGAGAACAGCACTCAAAAACGGTTTCTCTGTTTTCGAACGGGGATCGATTTAGGGAAAGCAAACTGTATTGTTTAGTTTCATCCTCGGGGTTTACTTCGGTAAAAATTAGCATTCGAGCGGTATTGCCACTTCAAAATATTACGGTGATTCGATGGACGCCATATGTTGTATCAGAACGACGTGCGATATATCGCATCAATTGGTTCCATTTTTTCAGCTACTCGTCATTTTTCTCCAATTTTGAGATCGTAATTCTGTTCTCAGGAGACTGAAGCACTCACTTACCAATTTTAACAAAGAAATTCAACGTAATAAAGGCGTGGTTTTTTTAGAGGAAAAATATCGCATTCGATACTGATATCGGAACTGCACTCGAATACGATATTTTCTCTCTAAAAAAAAACCACGCCTTTCTTACGTTGAATTTCTTTGTTAAAATTGGTAAAGTGAGTGTTTTAGTCTCCTAACAACAGAATTGCGATCTCAAAATTGCGGAGAAAAATGACGAGTAGCTGAAAAAATGGAACCAATTGATGCGATATATCGCATGCCGTTCTGACACAAAATATGGCGTCCATCGAATCACCTTAAGCGCTCGTCAGTCGACAAGGAGCGCTTTTTAATTTCAGCCTGCCTCCTGAATTTTAGTATACTAATGGCAATGCGTTCAAATGGCGCACCATCTCAACGACAGGATGGAGGAGAAGGGCCTAACATATTTGGAACAGATTAACCTGTGATACCTTTATTTAATGCATCTGATGTGAAAGCACGCTGCACGGAGAACGATAATCGTTTTTCTATCATTTATTTTTTTAGCGGTAGTGTAGTTTTCTCAAAATTGATATTCGTAATTTTGGTGAGCGAGTCTTTCATCTGAAAATGGTCATCTTCCTTGGGGAACCTTAAAAACGCGCCTGCATAGAAAGCAGCCGAGCGCTTCGACCCCGCAATGATCCGCCTACGTGAAACTATTCGCACTCTATGACTGTGCGTGTTGCATACTTAAAATATGAAGGCGTTTATTTGTCCCTTTTTTATTGTTACAGTTATATGAGCTTGGTATTGCCATGTCCTGTCATTATTAGGATGTATTTAAAACAAAAGGAACTGTATATATACTGGTATGAGCCCTGAGCTATGAGAAAACATGCATGACAGGGCTCATGTCAAAATGGATATAGTTTATTTTGATTTAAAAGCGCCAATTGGTAAAATATTTCTCTAAAGAAAATGATGAGGTGCGATACATCTTTGCCGTTGAATATTATGTAGTATTTCACTTTAGGTACTATAAATATCGGTTAAATTTTAGCTATTTGATAATTGATGGGCTTGAAGGACAAGGCGTATCATAAGTGCAGATTTTGAAAAATTGAGCTTTTAATGATTTCAAGTAAAACTTGTCTTAATGCATATTCTGCGAAAAATTCGCTCTCAAATTCCAATTTTTAAGCATCAAAAAGTCAGTTTGATCTGTTTTTTCGCCGTAAGGATCCATGTAATTCCGAAACTTCAAACACGTATTTCTCGATATAGCAAGATAGGTGCCGATTATCCCTTATCGAATATATGTTACTTTTTGGGCAAACTTAAACATTCTCAGTGTCTATTTTGATTCACACGGACTAAATACACAGATCTTAGAAAACTTAAAGCCAACAATTTCAAGAGAGAACAACTCAAAGTGTGCCCGCGTAAGAGCTAAACTTTAAAAAAAGAAATGTTACTACTTATAAGCAAAATCACATTTTTTGAAGTACGTTCTAAATCCTAGCCCGTTCCACGAGCAGCCTTTGATTCTTCAATTATTTGATAAACTGTCAAGATAAATCCTCGTCATATAGAGCGATTCATATCTTCAAAAACTGGATCACACAACGATGACCCACAGTTCTGTCGTGCGAAGGAAAAACGCCGTATGAACCTTCAGGTGTTGCCAAATTGTCTTTAATAAACCGCGCATTCCCTGGTAAACTTATGAATATTTATCTTCCAATTTCTCAGAGAATTTTGTTCGTATTCTGATCTAAAGTTCCTAAAACTTTCAAGGAAAAATTTCATAATTTTCCTCACGAGTAAAAATTTTATCAATGGAAATTTGGCAGATGTCGAATGCTCATACGTCGTTTTATCTTAGCAGAGTTGGTGTGGGTCAATTAGATGTAGGACACAGACCCGAAAATCAGTCAAATTTTATTTATCGCATAAAACGACTTGACGGGGAGAGAGCTTAGCATTGACAGATTTAAGCGAGCATTGAGCCATTGAGCCAGTTTAATAGTAAACCGCGACCGGTTTCACCGTGTTACGACTGGATCGTAGTGCCATTAGCAACACCATACCTATGTCATAATCTGTCAATGCTTAACTCTCTCCATCAGATATTCTTAATACTGCGAACCAATTTTATTCATTTTCGCACCTATAACTTTTCTTTATTCACCATTCAGCCAATCGTCGTATTTAAATTTCGGGTCACTTATATCTTGCCTCTATACTATTGGGGGCTTCAACTCTGTCATCGAATTGCTTTGCAATAAACTGATGTATGGCTACTTTATTCTTGATATATCCAACTTATTCGATTTCCAAACTTGTTATGAATGAGACATTAATGAAACTATGACTCATCAAATAAGAGAAACTTTGATTTCGAGAAAAACTCAGACGCATTCGACTACCCAGCCATGCTCCCCAGGCGGGGAAACGGCATTTGCTGATTGGCTGAATTCATATTAAGGAATTGCCTTGCCACGTCAACTCGACTGTCGGCTTTTGAATGGTTACATTTTGATTAGCTTTTTTCCTCCATGATCTTTTGAATTTCTAAATGAACTTTGCAGTTTCTTAACGATATTTCACGTAAGAAGAACCATATCGAGGGTGAAACTACCAGACCACGTATCTCGTTTGCAGTGTTTAAAAATCTCCACTCGCATTTTATTTTTTTGAGGGAGATCAAATCAGTATAATTCCTTCCAATTTTCACAGATTTTTTTCCGCACGAAGAGAAAAAATCACGGAAGTTTTCACGAATAGACGTCGAGTAGTTTTCCATTCAAAAAATGAAGCATGATAGGAAGTCTGCGACGTCGCAAACTGAGATACGTGGTTTGGTAGTTTTACCGTCGATATACTACAACCCTGCAAAACTTCCTTGCCACATACCTATTACACAAGACTTGACACGGAAAAAAAAGAGGTAGGGGTTGAGTCCCAACAGTTGGACGATATGGACATTTCCAATTACTTGTGGTAATACCCCGATTAATTGTGGTAATAACCTAATTAATTGTGGTAGTATCCCGATAAATTAGGTAACTAACTCAAATGTTACTGTACTACCTCAACTTGAGTTGCGGTGCTACCAAAATTAATTGGAAATGTCTATATCATCCAACTTTGAGTAGTAGAACAATTTTGGGGGAATAACCCCTGACACTTGTTTTTCCGTGGACTCTATTTCATTATTTCATTTTTCATTTTTCATTTTTCATTTTTCTCTATTTCATTTCATCCATGTTTCTGAATATCTAATTCGTTTCGTTTCTTTTCAGGGACGGCCGCATCTGCGTCGGGGACGAGGTGGTAAACGTGAACGGACGGGTTCTGCGCGGGATCACGGCCCTCCAAGAGGTCCAGGAGATCCTGAGCAAATGCGAACCGAGCTCAAGCGGCCACGGCTTCCACGTGGACATCGTCGTCGTCCGCCAGGAGACCCCCTTCACCGCCCGACCGCCCGCCGACCCCCCTCGGGACCGACCCCCTTCCACCACCCCAACCCCCACCCCCAGCAGCCGCGTCGTCATGCGCACCATCAGCATCGACTCCGACTCCAGCGAGTCCTCCAAGTCAGACTCGGTCTTCACCAAGCCCGAAACATCGTCCCAGGGCGATCCCGAATCGTCCTTCGCGAAGCCGGACACCCCCGACTTCCACACCGCTTCCCACTTCCCCGCCCACCCTGATCTCAGCCAGAACTTCTTCTCGGTCAACTACTCCAGCTCTTCATCCACCACCTCCTCGTCGTCGTCGACCAGTTCGTCGACCAACCCCTTCGTTTCGTCCACGAACCCCTTCACGTCGAGCCCCTCGAGTAGTTCTTCGACCTCGTCGACGAATCCTTTCGTTTCAAACCCGTTCGGTGAGGTGTCCCAGAGGGGCTGGGAGCAAGGGTCTAGGCAGCAGGAGGCGAAGGCGATCATCAACAGGGTGCTGGCGTCGGGTCTCGGGGAGTCGATGTCGGACTTCGGGCAGACGATCACGACGAACCAGTTCTCTGTCTGCTTCAGCAAAGGCATCGGGAAGAAGTCGCTTGGGTTCAGCATCGTCGGAGGTCGTGACTCCCCGCGGGGGGAGATGGGCATCTTCGTCAAGACGATCTTCGCAACCGGGCAGGCCGCCGAGCAGGGGTTGCTCATGGAAGGTGAGTGTCGCTTAATTTTTATCCTCATATGATATTTGGACGATTTTAACTACACTGGAAAAAAACACATTGGATCTAGAGTCCAGACTCTTGAACACATTGACAAAAAAAGGACTCTTGATTCAATCAGATTTAAACTGAAATCAAAAGGAAATCCGCTCAAATTATGAGGCTTGGTTCTTGATTGAAGCTTAAATTTGATTGAATGAAGAGTATTTTTTCTTGTCGATGTTTTTAAGAGTCTGGACTCTAGATCCAATGTGTTTTTTTTCCAGTGTAGAATCAACCTAACTGCATTTCATATTGCCTAATTCTCCGCGTGTTTTGTTTCTTCAGCGAAGACTACTAAAACAGCATAACGTCATTAAACTTACTGCAATTTTTTAGAATTTTAAGTTTCAGTTTTGCTAATTTTTTCGTTTAAAAAATAAGACAGAGATTTACCGAGATTATATAATATTGAGTCAGTCGTACAGTCCTTTTTGAAAAAAATTTATTCCAAACTATAAGCTCAAGATAATGACTCCGCGTCTTATTGCAATCACATGCGGTACAGAGTCACATGTCGGTTCGTCAAAGTGAATTTTCGGTTTGTCAAACCAAACTTTCGGTTCGTGTAACCGAACTTGTGTGGCAAAGTGAACCGACGAACAAAGTTTAGTCATACATGCCGAACGATCGGTTGTACGAACCGAAAGTTCAGTTTCCCAAATCGAATTTATGGGATGATATGTAACACCATCTGACGTTCGGTTCACATATATGTCCGATTTTTTTTTCCAGTGATATGTCTAAAATATTGGTCAAAAGATGAAACATTATTTAGTCCTAAAATTGTAAATCGACAGACATTTTCGAAGACCCTCCCTTGTGTATCTAAATTCATCGATGTTTCGAAAATCGAGCGATTTATTGATATTACATATACTAATTTTTAGTAGCATGGCAATTTTTTACCTTAATAGGCGGTAGACATAGATTATTTATAATAAGGAAAGAAACAAGGCGAGAGAACATGGGCTCTTCCAATTTTGCAGGAGACAATCAAAAACCCTAAAATACAGTCTCCTCCGCAATTTGCAGGAGACACTCAAGAATTCCGATGGTGAACTTTTTTTGTCTCATTCACTGCATAATTATCTCGCCCGCGCGGTAGCTGAAGTAGTATCTAAAACGCTCATGTTAACAAGGCCCAATAAATTTCGGGTCCGCCATGACACGTCCCTCTTTTCGCCGATAGGAGTCGAAAGTTCATGGAGGATGAGGCACGGGAATTGTGAACAGAATCCTCAAGGAACTTTCACATTGGCCGCCATCAAGATTCGTTTCGCTCCAGAGCGTGATGGGCCAGCCGACGCTCAAGAGATCGAGTCAATGAGAGAGGTCGGATATACTGAAAAAAAAAAAATCTCGGTGTATTTACTAAGAAAAGGGTAAAATTACCAAGAATTCAGGGTTCTATTTGATCCCAGTTTTTTCTTGGTAAAATTACCATTTATGGAATTGGTAATTTTACCGAGAAATCTCGGTAAAATTATTGAACTTTCTCGGTAATTTTACTGGACCTTGGTAAAAACGTCAATATTTTTTATCGACTGTGGTAGAATTATCGAGATAAAATGGCAAAGTTACCGGGAATTTATTACCAATAAAAGTGGTATTCTTACCTGAAAAAAACAGTAAAAATACCGGTTTTTAGGTAAACTTACCAGTCTGTCTTGGTAAAATTACCAAATAATTGGTAAAAAAGTGAGATGGTAAAGGTACCAACGGAACTTGGTAAAAACGCCGAGAATTTTTTTTCAGTGTATGATATTCTTCATTGAAACTGCCAATTTAGATGTTTATTTCGTGAAATTTAAAATTTTGAGGGGAGCTTCTCGAAGTAAATTTTACGAGAGAACAAACGGGACCACTCTTAAGACTTCCACGTTTTGTGATAATCAAGTTACGAGCTTTATAAAGTTTCCAAATTTTGTCCGACTTCTCTAATTGACCCGTTCCGCTGTGCGGCGATGGTTTCTCTCAATCGGTCGCGGCAGTCGCTTTATCAGTCTTTATGGCCCCAGTAAAATCCGGACCGATGAGAATCTGAAACACACCAGACGGCCCACCCGTCCGTCACGGATGGGGTCCGTGCAAACATAACACGGATGTCATGGAGCTACATAATGTATCTAAAACAAAGAGAGGAACCAATATTGGAGCCACGAAGGGAGCAAAACGAGAATATTTTTTCTCGGCATTTTCAGAAACTTTAGATGAAATTGCGAACAAAATCATATGAAAAATTGGAAGAAAAATATTGACAAATTTTCCCGAGAATTTGTGACTTACCAAAGAAAATTTGGCAACGCCTGAAGGTTCATACGGCGTTCTTCCCTAGCACAGCAGTATATATCGATGACCAAGGAACAATACCGGCTAACTACTTTGCTGCATCCTATAATATAAAAGACGCAAGTTAATTTTTTGAGCTTTTTCCATTTCCAAATGGGAACGCTGCTGTAATGACGCTGTATTGTATGAACAAAATGCGAACGCAACCTTAAAATTACAAAAATAGGAAAGATTATTCTTCGTGCTGTAAAATCGTTAGTTTGCATTTCAGCGGTATTGCTCTTTAGCAGTAGGTATGTGCCATTAAGGTGTTAAAGAATAACACATTTTTCAATCATGGGCAATTAGGGAGTTGTCACGACACGAAATTAAATGGTTTACTTTTTTACCGCTGCGTTTAAGTCTCCAAGCTATCTTGTGTCTTCCTGATTCATTAAGGCGTTNGGGGGGGGGGGGGGGAAACGTTTCTATCATAACCAAACTGGATCGAAGAATTAGGAAGATGTCGCATCTTGAAATGGTTTACTTTTCTACCGCTGCGTTTAAGTCTCCAAGCTTCCCTGTGTCTTCCTGATTCATTAAGGCGTTGGAAAAAAAAGTTTCTATCATAATCAAACTGGATCGAAGGAGGAAGATGTCGCATCTTGAAGTGGTTCACTTTTCTAGCACTGCGTTTAAGTCTCCAAGCTTTCCTGTGTTTTCTCGATTCATTAAAGCGTTGGAAAAAAAAACCTTTCATACCATCACGTTTCTATCTATGGAAATGGTTTACTTTTCTACCGCTGCGTTTAAGTCTCCAAGCTTCCCAGTGTCTTTCCAATTTATTAAGGTGTTGGAAAAAAACGTTTCTATCATGACCAACTGAATCAGACGAATAGGAAGATGTCGCATCTTGAAATGGTTTACTTTTCTAGCACTTCGTTTAAGTCTCCAAGCTTTCCTGTGTCTTCCTGATTCATTAAGGCGTTGGAAAAAAAAAAAAAAAAAAAAAAAAAANAAAAAAAAAAAAAAAAAAAAAAAAAAAAAAAAAAACGTTGCTATTATAACCAAACTGGATCGAAGGAATAGGAAGATGCCGCATCTTAAAATGGTTTACTTTTCTACCGCGGCGTTTAAGTCGCTTCAAGCTTTCTCGTGTTTTTTGACTCATTGAATTCCCTACGCAAATGGATGCTTTCATAAATGAGCACATTACAGACGTTTCTCATCGCGAAATATTTGTTCAATCAGCGTAGTCCGCGTTCATTCATTCCTCAACGGAGTTCACATTCACAATTTACACTGTCAACGCTCAACGCTCGATGTATAATCTCACAAACACACTGGAAAAAAAACACATTGGATCTTTAGTCCAGGCTCTTGAAAACATTGACAAGAAAAAATACTCTTGATTCAATCGGATTTTTGCTTGAATCAAAATCGGTTTTTGCTTGATATCCGCTTAAATTAAGAGGCTTGGTTCTTGATTTAAGCTAGATTCTGATTGAATCAAGAGTGCTTTTTCTTGTCGATGTTTTCAAGAGTCTGCACTCTAGATCCAATGTGTTTTTTTTCCAGTGTAAGATGCCCCCAACGCAGTGGTGAGGTGACACGGCCGGCGTGTTGCCTTACGAGCTTGGTGCTCGAGTGCGCTCGCTTTTGCAGTGACTCGTGGCGAATAATCGCGACTCCTATATCCCTTTCACTGTCCGTCTGGAGGAAAGTGAAACAAGAGCAAGAGCGTGGTCGCGCGCCACACTCACACCACACCGCCTCTCGCCGGCCGGCTTTTACAAGCTCCGAGCTACCGAAGTCCAAGTCGCAGCTCGCAGACCGATCCCATCCGATCGAATATCAGGACCCAGACCTGTGCTTGTGGTCTGCGGCCGGCCCTTGCTCCTCGCTCTTCTGTTACATCATCTGCATCGGCCAGTTTAAAGTTGTCCTCTGCGCGACGCTGCCAACCAAAGCCCTTGGAACAACTTGAAAGTCACAAACTGATCGCGGTAAACGCACGGGTCGTAAGACGGGGTGTTGGAGCTTTATATCCGACGTGCGTAAAAAGTTCAGCTTAAGGCGATTCGATGGACGCCATATTTTGTGTCAGAACGACGTGGGATGTATCGCATAGATTGGCTCTACTTTTTCAGCTACTCGTAATTTTTCTCGAATTTTGAGATCGCAGCTCTGTTGTCGGGAGACTAAAGCACTCACTTACCAATTTTAAGGAAGAAATTTAACGTAATAAAGGCGTGGTTTTTTGAGAGAGAAAATATCGCATTCGAGTGCAGTTTCGATATCAGGATCGAATGCGATATTTTCTCTCTAAAAAAACCACGCCTTTATTACATTGAATTTCTTTGTTAAAATTGGTAAGTGAGTGCTTTAGTCTCCTGACAACAGAATTGCGATCTCAAAATTGGAGAAAAATGACGAGTAGCTGAAAAAATGGAACCAATTGATGCGATATATCGCATGCCGTTCTGACACAAGATATGGCGTCCATCGAATCACCTTAAGGCTGATATCTCACTACAGAGGGAAGTAGATCACACACAAGCACAATTGGACTCTATTAAGCAGAAAGGAACCAAGCCACATCAGCTATTGCCAAATTTAACTGGGTAATTTAATTTTTTATAAGAGAACGTTTCCGTGAATTCCTTTGAAAATTTTAAGAAATTTGCTTCGTACTATGGAGAAAATTCGCTGAAATTTGCACAAAAATCCGCACAACTGTTTCCATGTAAAAAATTGAATTGCCAAATAAAATTTGGCAATAGCTGATGTGCCTTGGTTCCTTTCTGATTAATGCGGTCCAACATTACCTCAAAGAGATACGCTGTTTGGAGCAACACTATATAGTTACGTCCATTCAGGAAGGCAACTGCAGACGCGTTTCGGCCTTGTTTGGCAAATCCTCAGTGCAGTGCAGCCTCCTGAATTTTCTGCTACAAAGCTCGAGAGGTCGTGAAAACCAGCCCGAGACTTGGGCAAGCGGATGCTGGCGGCTGTAATGAGATATCAGCTTTAAGATGAACTTTTTACGCACGTTGGCTAAAAAACTCCAGCATCCCAACTTGAAAATCGTCGCGTAAATCGTCGTAGCCTTTCACGAAAGAGCTACACAGTTAAAAATGTCTGTGTTTGACGACACTCTGTGTTACTTTTTTGTGTCAGGCTGACGTAAAGGATTCGGTCGCTCAACACAATTTTGTGATAAATTGACCTAAACCGTAGGCTACTCTGAGACATCGGATATTGATGAAAGTGTCCTGCCGAACTTACGTGCTCTGCAGTGGCGTGGCGTGCTTTGCGATATATCGATTGATCGGTCATTCAAACCTATGGAAAAGGATCGATAAATAGGGTGTTCGCAGCGAACACCTTAATAATCGATTCTTTACCATGGGTTTAAATGGCATAACAATCGATACATCACAATTCACGCCACGCCACTGGTACTCTGATTTTCTTCCCCATTCCCAGAAGCCGCAAAAGACGAGTGGCTCGCGCACTAGATTATCACCGATGCGATCCAGGTTCGATTCTGCGGGCCGATTATTGGAATTAATAGACAAAGCCATAGACAAAGAAGACAAAAAGGACATGGTAGGATCCTATTGGTGGAAGCGGGTGGTTGCAATGGACAAAGGAGGTAAGTAGGTAATAGACTAACTAATGGCAACCGACAAGGGATCCAACAGTTAGTCCATCATTTCTCCTCTTAGTCCGTATAAGAACCACCAGTTGCAACCAATAGGATCGCTCCATACTCCCTTTGTCTTCTTTGTCTATAGCTATGTCTATCAATTTAAATGATCACTCCGCTGGTGGCTGGCGACTAACTTCCAACGAGGTCGCATAGATTTTCAACGTAAAAAGTTGGTCGATTTGATATAGGGAAAACTGACGCATCATTGAAGGTACCTCTCGAATGTTCATATGTCATTTTTCCTTGGCACGGCAACATATCTGGATTACATTTTGCAACATGGGACCACTATGTCTGGCTCTTCTGTAATAGCACATTTTTGCGTAAGGAAACCAATCGCATATATGTTGTTTCTAAAATGAGCCAGAAATAGTGGTTCTTTACTGCAAAATGTGGTCCATCTATACCTACCATCTTCGCATATTCTGAATTCTCGTCGTGTGGTTAATCATTTTAGGGAGTGCGTAGTGCTTATCATTTATTCCCGTTTTGTTTGTTTCAGGTGACGAAATTTTGGCGGTGAATGATGAAAGTTTGCAAGGAATGTCCCACGCCGAAGCAATCGGGGTGTTCAAGAAAATTCGATCAGGTGAAGTAGAACTCAAAGTCGTGCGTAGACGATTTCAAGAAAATTCTAATAAAAGGTGAGATTCCTTAAATCATCACTTCCTTTAGCTAAATGTTTCATCTGGTATCGCCTGACCTTGCTATCATGTAGATCTCATCAAATGAAGAGGAACACGAGATATAAGGTTATCTTAAAATAGAATCACTAACAACATCATTTGTCTAATTTTCTGCAGGTCACATTATTATCAGATCAAAGTGTTGACCAAGACTGATGCTTTTCATACGTGAAATTAGCCCTAGTGGAAGTAACTATTGAAAAACACTATTCAAAATCTTGTTAAACAGTTTTAAAAAAATGCGGAAGAGGAAACCCTTTTTAGTGCTTTTTAAAGTAATTTTTAGATATTATATTAATTTTTTTTAGATTTTTTAAACATTTAAGCTTTAACAATTTCCATATTTTTACAGATGGTTTTTCAAAACTTTAGCTTAAGTTATATTTCTCGTGAACTTATTTAGACATACTGAAAAGGGGTTCCTTTACGCAAATTTTTGACAGGTTTTTTCAATAAAAAGCTTATTTTCAAAAAAAAAACCCGGAAAAAATGGATTTTTTTCAATTTTTCCCATAGCCATTGCTATTTAGGGCGATGATAAAACATACTTCAGTCATGCATACCTACACTTGCAACTTAACTTGCCTCCTTGTAACTGTGGGCCTTGTTGTACCTTAACTTGCAAACCCGGTACCTAGTACAATATCCTTGATTTTCAATCTGTAAGTGTAGAATATTCTGTGATAACTGTTAACAGTGAAGTTTTCACGTTTTCTTTGTTAAAAATAGCGTGAAAAGAGGTGGTCCTCTAAATTTCATCCTCGATGTGTCGGCCATGGCGCTTCACTTTGAATGGTGGGCCGAATGATGAAATGATATTTAAACATGTTTCGTTATTTACTTGTTTCAGGATCTTCAAACCGAAGTGCATCGAAATAATGCAAGCTCAATGTTAACCAATCTTCACCTAATCGTAGCCACATAGTCGGTTGAGAAACTCAGGAACTCCCCTGCTACGTCAGTGCTCAAATTGTTAACCTTGTCTTTCTGATGTATACGCTCAAAAAGTGTATTGTACAATGTGTTCATTTGTAAAGTTAGTTAAAAACCACTCTTCCAAGACTGTGAATCATACATTTTGTACATACTAACTCTGTATATTAAACACGATTTGATTTTGCGTTAAGTTTTTATCATAACGAGACTCTACTTGATTTTGAAACATTTTTTCATTCAAAATATATTTTAATTAAAAGTTTCTCCGCTGCTTTATTTGCATGTGCTTTTTTTCCTATACTGACAAAAATTTGATCGCCCAAGCAGAAAGTTTGGTGCAATTTCTATCGATTGAGCTATTGAGCATACAGCAGGAGCGGAGTACATCGCTGTAAAGTAGGAAAACCCGTCTTTCCCTCCACGAAAGAACCTAACTTCATTTCAATGTTGCCAATTTTTTCCTTGCAAATTGGATTTTCACCATCTGAATCATGGGTATTTATAACTGAAAATTTTCTGAATGTATTTCTAACAGTGATTTTTCTTCTGATCTCAAGCAAAAATAAAATAAATTGGATAGACATTGTACATGAACACTCCTGTAAAAAATTTCATTGTTTGAGTCAATTTTACAACCTTTGATTGGAGTTACGTGTCTGGTCCAAAAAGCGACGGAACATGGATAGACTTGGATTAAGCATGATAACTCATGGCATGGGGATAAAAAGTGAGAGACCTATCATATTTCACACTCCCTCAGGGCATGGCTCGTTGGCTTTTCGCTGATTTTGAAAATGATGAGAAAATTCATAGATACAAATTCCAGAAAATAGAAGGTATCCCCCTTTACTTACTATAAGTGGATTGCATTTTGCAAAAAGGAACCACTAGCATTGCAATGTTGCTAAGATTGTGCAACTTCTTTTGTCTTGGAGGAAAAACCCGATTGTCCCTTAAAAGTCTCTAGTTTACTCGCTAAAAACTGTAAATTTAAGACAAAAATTACCATCTAAATTTCATGGTTTTTCACAATTTCCGCAATTTTATTGCAAAGGATGAAGTTGCACAATCTTAGCATCATTGCAATGCTAGTGGTTCCTTTTTGCAAAATGCAATCCAAGTGTTTCAACAGAAAACAAGCAGTGAACTCCAACACAATGTGTTGATAAGGCGCGTCATTAACTCGCACATATCAACCCCTTTAGTTTTCATTTACAGAGATTTCAAAATAGGCAAACAGCATAAAAAGAGAATTCACGATCCAACACTGCGAGGTCAAAGACGCACCTTGACGAGACCGTGTATTGTGAAAGTAGAAAGCTATTCGATCGAATTTAAGTTTTTTGATCTGCCTCAAGCAAAATCTTATCAGATTCTTGAAGAAAAGTGCTACGGAATAATTTAAGCGAAGAAAGGAAAAATTCTGTCGAACTCCTAGAAGATAAAGTCGATTTAAAGGTATTTTGGGGCTAAAATACCCAAATCACCGGTAGTAAAAATCCCGTTATATTATTGAAAAGAAATTGACTCGATATAAATGCAATTGCATTAAATACGTCTTGATTTTGTTATTTTAAACGTCTTTCCATGCAAAGAAGTTCAACCATGTCGTTGCTTTATTCATTCATGAATTGAAAGTAAGCAATCTACATCCCGAAAATCTACTGATTTGCCGTAAAAAATTGCAGAAACTTGATATACCAGGTCGATGCACCCACTCGTTGAATTTACCAACCAATTTTGTGAGTGCAAATGTGTAAGAATCAATATGCTATAGTCATTTTGGGTGCATTTATTTTTCATGAAACAATAATAATTTCAATCCCGAAAAACCATCAATTTTCCGTATAAAATCGAAAAAATCAAAATATGTCAACTCCCCGACGTGAAAATTAGATTCTACGTATGTAAAATGTAAATACTTATGTATCGATATGCTGAACAGAACTATGTGTGGACAGTCAGAAGCCCGCGGCAACATTAATTCAACAGAAAAACTGTAAAAATTAGATAGGATTTTAGCCGCTTTGCCCGCCTCTCCTCGCTACTTACAACAAACCGTTCTTATACTCATCTCAAAATTTTTCTCAGAGCTTTGGGTTATTATCAGCTTCCATTTAAACTCCGGTTCGATGGCCGAATCGGCTGCCAAAAAAGCAAGCCACTGTTGAGGGGTTCTATGAGAAATTCGTGATATTATCGGCTCTCAGGAAATCACCCCATGGCTAAAATTGGTGGTATAAATGTTTAAGTGCTTAAAATAATCGTATTCAAGAAACTAAGGAATTAAACTATGGAGTCAATTTCTTTTTAATAATATAACGAATTTACTACCGGTGATTTAGCTATTATAGCCCCAGAATACTTTTAAAGCGCCTTTGCGTTCCAGAATCTCGACGGAATTTTTTTTTTTTTTTTTTTTGCTTAAACGATTCAAGAAACATTGTAGTTAAAAATATAAAGATTTTTCGATTTGGACGTATGAAAAATGTTTAACTCGTTCAGGCACACCGTGTATTGTATGGAGTACTGCTGTTATTCGACCGTTGTCTTCAGGTCAAAATTCTTACAAAGAAGCCCCTTGCAAGAGGCAAATTTTTTGTAATTTCTCCCAGTTTTTTCAGCGTTAGGTATATAAATGAATTGTTTGTCAAATTTTGAGGTCAATTATATTTAATTGTAATTTATACTTTCTTTTTTTCCCCTTCATTTTATTTTTCGTATCGAGGAGTCGAGGTTTTGTTGATTTCTTCGGATTTCGATTACTGTAACTTCTCTTCTATTCGGCCGATTTTTATGAATGAGGTCTCTTTTTATTTGTGTTTTAACGGAGAGTAAGGAAAAAATTGCTAAATACATGCGAAACAATTTTTTTTGAAAATTGGATGAATCCTAGCGTGACGGTGAAATGGTTAATGAAGCGTGAGTAATTGGGGTACGGGTATCGGCCGCGTTGGGACCCAAGGCCCATTGTTCTTCGTGACGCCGACGCAGTGATCAGGAGCGTGGGGACGAGAGGGCTTAGTGGACTCCTGTATGAGCCACGTTTAGCAAATGGTCTAATGAGTCTCGAGGCTCATCACAGATTGCACTTACCACTATCCTGGTGGCCCCGGCTATCAGAGCAAGGAGTACCAACTTTTGAAAAGGATAACAGTGTTGTGGAGATATGTCAAAGCAACGTTGTGAACAAAACGGAGTGAGTGAAATTCTCATTCAAGGAGTGCCGAACTGGTCAGCCATCCTCGAATCAGTTCGCTTGCTTCCGCTTATATATGCATATTTTAAATCAGCGCGCCCCATTCTAAGGTTTTTTTAAAAAAAACCAAGAAACGTAGACTCTTGGTATTCATTACACATAAACTAGCGAGCCCCAGAATGAGAAACAAATTTTAATCATTATTATTGACGGATTAGTAAACTTTTTACACGCTTTGGAAAATCTCAGAAGTTCGCGGTAGTCACTTTTCGGTAAGGAACTAGGGGACTCGGTTATTGTATCGAGGGGGGGGTCGAAACGATCGCAAAGGCGGTATACTACGTATACGCGCCAACATGTCGACGGTGCAACTGCCAAACCACGTATCTCGATTGCTGTGTTTTAAATTCTCCGCTCGCCTATTTTATCTTTTTAAGGGAGAAAAAATCAACATTACTCCTTGAAGTTTTAACAAAATTTTCTTCGCACACTTTTTAAGAATTTCTATCAAGATAACTTTTCATCCAAAAAATAATGTATGACAGGGAGTCTTCAGCGTCGAAGACCGAGATAAGTATAAGTGGTGTAGGAGTTCCACCGTCAATATTTCGTTACCTTTTATACATGCAGTTTCCTTTCATTGGCGGATCCAGCAAATTGGCAACACTTTCTTTTCTCCATTTACACCCATGGAAATGTATCGATTTTTGGAGGGGCCAGGTGCTCCGACAAGAATCGATTATTTAGCATAGGTTTAAATGGAGGAAATCCGGCGTTGCCGGATCGCGGGAGCCGCCTCAATTTCCTTTCCTATCTCAGTTGTTGATGAACAGCCAAATTTTTGCTGAATAATCCGGTGACTGCCAGGATTGTGGATCGGTAAAAAGATTCATTCCAAATTTTTTAAAATTGTTTTAGACTTTTAATTTCTTCCTGTAGCATACTTACATTTCTCACTTTCAGTTGGATTCCGTCACTTTTTCAACTCCTTCGTGTCAGTCTCTCCTACTCTCCGTGTCAATCTGAATAATGTTTATTACTTTATCGATAAGATAAGGGACTGTTGAATAATTGGACCAATCGGAAGCGAAGTTACTATCGGAGGATTACGTACGTTGTGATGTACATTGAAGAATGTTTAAGCCCAAAATCGAGATCATTTTCCTATCTCTCTAGCCTGCGTGCACGCACAACGCAACATCAGTTTGCCTTGCGGCAGCGGTAAATTTGAAAAAGCGTGTTACAAACAATGCAGATTGCACTCCGAGACGGACTTTCTTCATGTGCTCATCGTAATTTTCGTGTGGTTTTACACCTGTAATAAGTGTATTCACTTTCGTTCATCTCTTGTGTGCAACAGACCTGTAGTAAAAGGTAGGTACAATGTTAAAAATCGTTGATTCCGCTCGATGGAAAATCCGGGTTGAAAATAATCAGGGTGGTGAGATTCAGTGGGTTTGTGCTGAGGTGCACCTCGCACTGGGGCACCGTCCTCGTGCGTCTCATAAGGTCTCGATACACGAACGAATTCTCGAACCAAGCACCATCAAAGTGTAGGGAGTTATCAGTTTGAAAGTCGTTGCTTATTGTTCGAATGAAAACCTTGCAGAAATGTTTCGTGCGGCAAGAAATGATGAATATGGCTGCATTTTCTTCACAATTTGACGGCTCCTCCAATTTTGATCAAAAAACACAGTTGCGTGGTGACCATCAGTCATCAACCGGTCTACTTCGATTTGAATTGGTTCAGAATTTGATCGTGTGTCGAGGCTTATATCGTGCCACTGGCCGGACGGCTATCGGATATGTTGGGTTGCGCACAGCTCATCAATCAACATCGCTGATGCCTCCAATGGCAACAAAAGTGTCACTTTAGTTTAAAAACACAATTTTTACCTTTTAATAAATGTATGCGGCTTTGACCCGACAGTATTTCAGTAGCTGGGTACAGTTGCTGTCCGATATTATTTTCAGCAAATGTAAATAACTCAATAACTTTTGTTATTGCCAGCCAATGTAAATAACTCAATTAATTTAGTGTGCAAGTTAAACTCATCGCAAAA